GCCAGGATGCGAAGCGAATGGAAGGGAGAAGGACGACACCGAATTTGGGATTCTCAGCCGCCGGGACCGGCGCTCCGTCTCGCTCTGTCAGCTGTTTGTGACGCTTCTTTCATCCTCCCCCTTTTGGTGTTTGAGCTTGTTTGCGGCAAACGAGGCTAAATAAGACTCTCGGCGGTTTTGACGAGACATGGAAACATGTCATAAAAAAAAAAAAACACAAAACAAAATTGGCAATGGCCGTCCTTCCTCTCATTTGCATTCCCGGCGACTTCTGTCCGCCTCGGTCGTTGCACTCCACTGGAGCTGGTGGGAGGCTCAGCAGTGTTTGTGCTTGACTGAAACAAAAAAGGATGGAGGAAGAGATCCCAAACTTTATTGAGCCGAGGCACCCCACCAAACCCCTCCCCCCTCCCACCGCACCTTTTTTTAAAAAATGATCAATGCATGCATGGTAACATTTTGCACGTCCACCCACACCGTCAAACATGGACCGGTGTCATTTTGCATTTTATAAGCTGGAGGATGCGTTCCTGGTCGACCTCGCTGTGTGGGCTTTGGTGTTTGGCCTCACCAACGCACAACTGAGAGTGCAGTGATATAAAAAAAAAAAATCAGCTGATGAGCTCAAAATAACCTGTGTGTGTAAGAAACGCACATCTCGCAGCCAAGGCACTTTCAGCACATTTCCACGCGGCGTAATTTGTTTTAATTGGATTCACGAGAGCCCGAAGTCGGTGTCACGGAGGTCGGCGCCACCTACTCGCTCCAGGAAGTGGAGAAGAAGCTTTCGGTGAGTCAGAATACGCCGGGTTCGGCGAATCAACACGCCCACTTTGAACAGTCGGGTGGCGGCGAAGCGGCAGATGTTGAGTTGCCGTCACGGCGGCCTGCTCATTCTTCTCCCCTCCCTCCCTTCGGCATATTTTCACCTCCATCGCACTCGCTGCGTGGGGGCAAGCTGTGTAGGCACCGGTGTCAGCGTGACCTCGGCCTGAAAATTGCAACGCCGCAGCGCCCTGGCAGGGAGCATCAGGAAGCGTACGAGCGAGCGGCAACAGATGCTGACGATGTGCCGCGCGATGGAGCATTAAGCCAGACTCAATTATTAGATCGCGCTTCCTTTTGGATGACTTTCTCCACAAATGTGTGAAAATGACTCCATGATCGTGTCACGTGATGGGGGATTAACAATCTTGGCAAATGCAAAGAGCCAATGCATGCTTTTAGCACATAGAAAGCACACCAGCAGATTAATGTCTGCGAATGTGATCCAGTTCCCTGACCTAGAAACAGCGGAACCTCGAGTCACCGGATCCGGAAACCAACGGTCACGAGGTTTAACGAGACTCCCTGACCTAGAAACAGCGGAACCTCGAGTCACCGACCCGGAAACCAACGGTCACGAGGTTTAACGAGACATGAATATCCAATCCAAATGCCCTTTTGTACTTTCAGAATGAAGAAACTTTGCGGTAGACTCTAGCAGGCCAAAAAGCCGTCAGTGTGGCGGCCATGTTGGCAGTGGGGACGGAGTTCGTACGAATGGAATGGAGTATAGAGGGCTACGTCCTTTTAGCAATTACCCACAATGCACTACCGGCGGCCATATTGGAGGGCTGTTACAAACAAGCCATACACGAAGTCTATTCGCGGATGTCTTGTTCGTCCCTCCAATATGGCCGCCGGTAGTGCATTGTGGGTAATTGCTAAAAGGACGGAGCCCTCTAAAGATGTTAGCTTGGCACCCGCTTTCGCATGTCAACCCGTTTATATCGATGGCTCCCGTTTTTCCTGGAACAGGTAGCGTCCATGCTATTTTTTTGTTGCTCTATAATTTCACGAGATGATGCTCAATCATACGATGGAAAAGACGAGCGCCGCCTCCGTCCTTCTAATGGATCGGTAAAGCCGCTCACTCGTCAAATTTGCAAGGCAAGTAAAAGAAAAAAAAGTGCAGGAACGCTATTGACGGCAATTTCCCAAAAAGTAATATTCTGCTCTTCAAGGTTGCGCTTCTGCAGTGTGATTTAACAGTTGTTGTTGTTGTTGTTGTTCGTACGCGCTGCTTAGCGCCCGTCCCGGCTAGCGGTTTGGCCGTGCCAAGTTGAACGACGTTCATGGTCTCCGTCCGTGCCAACGTCTGCCTCCATTTTTCCCTTCGCGCCACAAGCGAAACTCACTCCCCGAACTTTGGTAACATTCTCCTACGTCTTGGCGAACCTTTTCCAAACTGAGACCGCGTCATCCCGTTTGGATATTGAACGTGAAGTCCTTGCGTCGCTAACCGCAGTCCCTGACTTACTGCCTTACATCCATGAGGCGATTACGGTCGCGGGATGTATTTAAAGCCTGACTTTTTTTCTTTCTTTTTTTTTTTTCCCTTCACCACAGAGTGAGCGATAAATGCGTCGGGCCCTTTGATTTGGGCAACAGCGTTCGCAGTGTTGGCGAAGACAAAGCATAGCTCAGCTAGTTTTGGTTTCACTCGGAATGTTTTCATGTCACATCCCTGGACTGAAAGTCGCCTTGTGCCGCTTTACGTGTCGGGTCTGAGCCGGCGGGATGCGGCCGCTGAACACGCAAAGAACGCAGCAGGGCAGCATATATGAGGAAGTGAAGAGATTTTTTTTCTTCCCATTAGTTTTATTTCAGTTCTGTTTGTTTGCCCCTTAAAAAAAAAAAAAAAAAAAATCTTGCGAAACGGTGGGAAAGAAGTGCCGCTTCCTCCTTTGGCCGTTTTTGAAACGCGTCACGCCCGAGTGTTTATTGGCATGTTTCATAATGCTCACACGTTCTGTATATTCCCCACATAGTCGTTGAATATTCATGAAGCGGGCGTTTGGCAGCAATTCCGGCGAGGGGAGTGCCACCGGTTGCCGCGTGAACAGATTAGCATATTAATGATATAAATGCCGTATAATGAACACGTGGGAGTGGATTACGCACGTGAATCATTGTCAGCTCAGTCAGAGAGGAGAAAGAATCCGGCTAATGAGGTCATAAAGTCCCTCAATACGGTTTTGAAATACTGCACACTTGCAGGCTGAATTGACCTTAATCCTGCTGTAAAATTCACTTGAGCAGCAGTCCAACGTCGAGGTTTTATCGGGTAGTCATACCTGAATAAGTCCGCTTTGAAGGGCCTCTTTTTGCTCTTTGTGAAAGAGGCGCTAAGCACCCCCTCCAACCTCCGCCGGCTGCGTTTGTTCTTCTAAGGAGCGTCGACTGCACCGCGAGCTCAACTTTAATGCGGCTCGACAAGCCCGGCGTCGGAGTGGAAGTGGAAAAACACCTGTTAGGCCCGTCTGAGGCAAGAGGCCTCATCGCCGTCTCCACTTCCTGAGTCGTGAGCAGATATGTGAGAAGCGTGTCAGCGCCAGCATAGTTTCAATATTAACCGTTACTGCCGCAGGGGGGGAGACTCTTTGTCGGACGGGTCTGCGATCCACGACGGATCTGGCGGCCATTTTGCATTGGCCCAATAGCAGGCAGCAAAGCGACGGCGTGATCTCGCGTGGATTCGCCAAAGCGTCAGAACAACGGCGTCTGTTGCTGTTCTGAATGAATGAATGTCGACCGAAAAGCATCAGCGCACTTGGAGTTGAATTTAAATCAATCCCATTTTGTTGTGGACGATCACTCTGTCGTTCATCTTTGCGAAACATCCGGTACGTTTGCGCTCAAGCGTCGAACCGCAGGCATATAAGCTCCTCCACCCGACACATATTCTATAAATAAACGACCGCACTCAACCGACGCTTGAGGTGTGAGTGCAGACGTTGACACCTTGCATGCATATTCGATGAGCCGGTACCCGCCGCCACAAGCCGAGGTTTGAATTGTTGACATTTGGATCCAAATCGAAGTTGCGTCGTTGAATTGGAATCGTCGCTGTTGAAAAACAGAATCTCGAGTGTCCAATTTGAACGTAGTGGCTTGACGCCGAGTGGGGAAGTCATGAAATGGATTTCAGTTTCTCTGAAAGCGGAGATGCGCTCCTTCCTCGAAAATATCTTTTCACTTTCGCTTCTTTCCAAACAGATTCAGTTCTCTGAATTCAGATTCAAGTTGGCGACGGCGGACATCCGGCGGTGCTTGAGCCTTGCAGATCCAGACTCCTCCTCCGTTTATTACAAGTTCAGCATGTCTCGTATCGCGACCTTGACACGAAGCGCGCAAGTGACGTTCTCGTGATGGAGATGAGCGTCGACACGTTAACCTTGTGCGCCCCCCCCCCCACCACCCCATGACATGCCGCATCTCTGTCAGACCGCCTTCTCCCTCCCCTGCTTTGTGAGCCGTCGGATTTATCTGGAAGCTTCTCGCATCTCCGCCCCGGCTCTCTAATGGCCTGTGCGGTTTTGAGTTTCTATTTTGCGGAGGGCCCCCGATAGGACTAAAAGCCGACTTGCTGCATCGTTTGATGCTGAGCAGTCATTTGAGGACATGCTGCAGATGGCTCGTGGATTGACATGCAGCAGACTCCCCCCAAAAAAAAAGACCCAAAGCTGAATAATTCACCGCAATGTGGTTAATTCATACATCGGGCACACTTTGCAAGTGTGAATGCGTTTGCTGCGGCGGGGTAGATTTAAAAAAACAAACCAAAAAAAAAAAATCCCCCGAGAATGAAGTGCTTTGCGATAGCAATCCGAGCTAAAGAAGCTGAAGGAAAACTTCTCGCTAACCCGCTAACACAAATACGAAGATAACTACGGTGGCAGTTTGACCTTTCGCCGAATCATCGTCTGCGTCGGGAAGAAAGGTCTTGAAGGGGAAAAAGAAACGCTGACTTTTTATTCATCCCGAGCATATTTTGACCTGCGGGAATGCCGCCTCGTCACCGCCTCACGCTCATTTACATGCCATTAGGCCGCTTTTGTTTCTGGGGTCCTTGGAGACGAATCATTACAACGTTTCTCGTTCAACTCGGATTCTCTCTCGAGTGTCTCGGCGCAAATGACGCTGCCTCATAACGTTTTGTTGTTGTTTTCTCACAGTGCTGGCCACTTTCCGAGGCACCGTCCAGCACGGCCTGCCGCTGGAAATTGGCGACACGGTGCAGATCCTGGAAAAATGTGAAGGTGGGTCATGCAATTTCCATATGATATTTCTGGGACACGCCTCCTTATCAATAATGACTCAATTGAGGCTTGGCTTGACTCATTTTAATCCTTTTTTTTGTTGTTGTTGTCATCTGGGATGAACGGATCACAATTGCCGCACATGGCAAAATTCTCAGAGCAGCTCTTCTCGTTTTCACTTCCTCTCTGCGTGATTGTCATCCAAGCGTGGCTCGTACCCGTTCGCGCGTATGTCGCGTCTCTCTACGGGGATGATGTGAGAAGTTAACGCAGGAAGGAACGAGGCGCCTGGCCCCCCCCCCTCGCAAATAACCGCATACGCAAATGTCCTCAAAGGAAGTGAAATGCACGTCGAAAACATGCTCGTGCCGGAATCAGGCGCCGAAGCGAGCATGTGTGCTTTTTGCACTCAGAGGAGCTCCACTCCGGCCCGTGTCACACATGAGCTCGCCGGAGATTCTTCTTGAGGGACGGTGCACAAAATGAGCGCCGGGATGAAATCACGCCCGCTGCAGTTTCCTTCCAAAGGCAGCTGACTGATTTTCCAGCCACGCGGCCCACGCCGAGTCTGCTTTTCTCCTCCGCTCGCACCCACGTACAATGTTTTCCCATATTGTCATGTAACGTCGCAAAATCAGATGTTAGATTTTGCATTTTTCGGTGGGGGAGGTGAACAGCATCGGTCGCGGTACATCAGTGTCAAAGGTTGGGGGGTGAGGGGTGGCTGTTAAAAATAAATCATCCCAAAAAAATTGCATGTTGACAAGCCGCAAAGCTTCTGGGAGAATGTCCACGGACACTTTTTGGCAAGGCACGTTGGCTCAATGCTCACAAGCATGAAGCAAAGCAGGAAAACAACGCCGGCCCGACTGTGCAACATGGAGCATTCTCTGTTCTGCTCTGGGGCTGCTTTGCTTCATCTGGCACTGGGTGTCCTCCAACTTTTTATGTTCTGGTTTCGCTCGTGTGCATTGTAAAACGACAGAACTTGGATTTTTTTGGGGGGGGGGATAAAACGGTAATTTAATACTTTAAAATGATAAATATGATTGGCTTTTATGGCAACAATGCGATTTGTTGAGTTGCTTTGACTTTTAACTCTCACTGTACTTCTTTGTTGAAATTGTGTTTTTTCATTTTAGCAAACCGCAAAATATTTTGAATTGTCCAACTTCAAATTTTGAGTGTTTTTTTATTTTATTTTTTTACTTTCCAATGAGGTTTGTCAGGTTAACCAAGCCAATTGTAGCCATTTACCCCTTGACACTTTCTCTTCCTGTTTGCACACCGAGACGGCGTTGTGGAATTGCACAAACACACCCGCAGGAAGTTGACGATCGCCCAGCCAGTGGCAAATTTTGCCCAGAAGGCAGCCGCAAGATCAGCAGCCGCCAGGGCGCCGAGTGACGTGCGGCGCGACACTCGCAGAGACGCGGGCTAATGGCTCTGTCATCATGTCGACGGCGCCGTCGACACTTCAAAACGCCGCCAAAGTGTTGACGCTTGACGCGCCCCCCCCCCCCCCCCCCCACAAGAACGACGCAGTCCCCACAC